TGCTTGTCCATGGTGCGATTTGTGGGTTTGCAGAAGTTAACAGTTGGTTACAGTTCTTTAGATCAAAGTCGATGAGCGAATGAAGGCAAAAAAATTAAGTTTTGTTACCCTTTATAGCAAATTGAAAGTGGCGCCCCCAATGACTGTCATCTCATTAACTTGTCGCAGATAGACACGTGCCCTGCTTTGAACTTATCTTTCACTTTTTCTTTTGTTTTTATTTATAAAATGTGAATTCATTAACAAGTGTAGACCTGAAACTTTTACCTTTCACAAACATAACAGTAAGTGTAAGTCGCAAAGCATTTTTGTCAAAGTTCAACAACAGATTAAGAAAGAAGGGATCACGGGGATTATAGAAAAAGTAATAGAGATATAAAACAGTGTAGTTTTCCGGCACATATTATTCTCAGTATCCGAGATTGTGGTTGTGCACGGGGGCGTAGGAGAAACCCTGGAAAACGTTATCGCCCAGACTGGAGGCTCCCATGCCTTGAGACTTGATCACAGAATTGGGAATGGCTTCGCGCACAAACTCAGGGTCGATATTTCTCATATCGAGGTTGTCCTTCTGCGGGTGATTAAGAAAGTGATAGTGTTTAATGAGAGTGAATGCCATCCTTTTCTCCTATTGATTACTTACCACATTAGGGTTGAATGGCGGCGGAATGCTCTTTGACTCAAGGTCAGCCCAGTTGATTGGCCGGAAGAACTCGTGTCGCTTTATTTCGTCTGCGTCTTCGATTGCGCCCAGACGCTTCCGTTTATCCTTTTGCAGCAGCTAGGAGGAAATCATTCATTGTACAGCAAATCATTGGTTAGACAAAGCATATCATCGTCAAGTTTACACAATAACACACAGTACGATGATGATTGCAGTTGGCACTGCCAATTTGGTAGTTTTTTACCAAGCAGGAGCAATGTCAGTGCAACTCATCATCATTACTCACTACACTTACCAACTCGAGGATATTTCTAGCGGCTGTAGACATGTTGGCACGAAATCGAACTGGTTTGTGCAAAATGTTGTCGTACATCTCTGCATTGTCACGACTGTAGAAGGGTGGCTGTTTAGGTGTGTGGTTTGTGTGGGAAAGAGAGAAGACGATCATTAGGCCGATGATGATAGGCTGACGGGGGCTGATGGTGGCAAGATGATAATGACCATCACATGACCACCACCACCACCACCACAATGAAGTCCACTACTGTCCACCTACCAGTGAGTTGAGCATTTCGTAGAGCACTGCGCCCAAACACCACCAGTCGACGCACCGGTCGTAGGGCTCCTTGCGCAGCACTTCGGGCGCCAGGTACTCGGGCGTGCCGCAGAAGGTGTTGGTCGTTTCCCGCTCTCGGAGGCCCTCTTTACACAGGCCAAAGTCGGTGAGAATGATGTGACCGTCAGAGTCGAGAAGAATGTTCTCCGGTTTCAGGTCTCGGTATATGATGCCCTGGGAGTGCAGGTAGCCAATGGCGCTGGTGATCTCCGCGGCGTAAAACCTCGCTCGCGGCTCCGTAAAGAGGCGTTCTTTGGAGAGGTGGAAAAAGAGCTGCCAGGGGAAAATGGAATATAAAACTACTGCTGTAAGCTAGTAGCCATCGACTTACCTCTCCGCCGTTGACGTAGTCCAAGACAAAGTACAGCTTGTCTTTGGTCTGAAATGAGTAGTACAGGCCGACGAGGAAGGGATGGTTCAGATTCTTCAGCAGCACATTCCGCTCGCTCATAATGTGATTCTTCTCGTTGCGCTTGAGAATCATCTTCTTGTTGAGTACTTTGATGGCGTATATGGTGTCCTCCTTTTTGTGGCGCGCTGAGAAGACCTTTCCAAAGCTGCCCTTGCCAATGGTGCGCAGGAACTCAAAGTCGCTCGGTTTGACGCTGGGCTTCTCTGAGGGACCCAGATTGATCATCTTCTCACTGCTGTTTGAGGTGATGGTCATCGAGGCGTCCTCGTGGTCGTCATCATCTTCGACGCTGTTCTTTAGCGTTCGGTCGAGCTGAAAGAACGTCCTCACTTCAGCGCTACAAGAAAGCGAAAAAGGAAAGAGAGATAAAAAAGCACCTTTGGTTAGCGATCAGGTGACAGGTAGGCAGTGGTTGCTGCTGTTGTTGTTGTGGTCGCTACTGTCACTGTTTTGTAAACATACACATCTAAAACCTGTGGCTCGCCGAGGACTCGCTGCACCAGAGTGTCCAATGCCTGGCGGCGCGTTTTGATGAAATCGGAACTGAAGTTGTTGCCAAACAGCTTCTTGCCGGGCAGCTTCAGGTGAAGATGAGGGTAGAGCTTTTTGAGCTGCAAAAAGACAGAGAAGTGGAAAGGGTTAGTTAGAGAGTGGCAGTGCAGAGAGGGGGGGGGGCCAGTTCAGTGACCGCTCAGTAGACGTACGAGGTCGCAGAGTTTGCTAAACTCATTGTACCGCCGGTGGATGATCCAAGTGTGGCTGTCATACTTGACCACTATCTTGTAGACGGTGTACTTTTTATTCTGTTCCCAGACTTCTGAACTGACCACATTGGCAGTGATAGCCATAAAGGACTGAAGGCGAGGGGCGACACTGGCTCGGCGTAGGCAACAACACTTGAGGAATGAACTGAATGCGACTGATGATACCGACGATGGTACCGATGAAAGTTGCTGATGTTGATGTTGATGGTGGTGGTGGTGGTGGTGGTGGTGGTGGCTGTTGCTGATGCTGCTGCCTGGTTCTGAGGAGGAGGAGGAGGATGAAGAGGGAGGAGGCGTTGAAGATGCTGTTGGTGGTAGTGCTGGTGGTGCTCCGGGACCGGGGCTGACTAGTGCGTGCTGCGATGAAGAAGGGGCAGGGAAGAAGAGGAGATAAAGTGAATGAGTTGTTGATGTCTCTCTCACTGTTTGTGTGTGTGTGTTTGTGTTCGCCTTGGCAAAACAAAGAGGTGTGATCGATCGGTGGGAGATGCTGCTGCCGTTGATGCTGCTGCTGCTGTTTCTCTCTGCAAAGATGCTGCTTCTCTCTGTGTCGCCGTGGGCAGTGGTTACAGACACACTGGTTACTCTGCTGAGTCCTGCTTGCCAGAGCATCGATAGGGGCGAGCAATGATCACCACACTCAGCTCCACTCTCTCACTCTCTCTTTGCTATTGCTGCTACTGCTTCGTGCACTAGTCACTAGTGCTTCTGCTGGTGAAAGGACTGGTAGTGTCGGTGGTGGGCAACAGATCTGGCCAACTGTGGCGTAAGTTGCTGCTGCTGTTGCTGTCAGTAGCAGCACAGCTGCACACAGCCACCAATCGGCGACAGCACGAGAACTCAGTGCTGCTGCTCTTTTCCCATCCATGGAGATCAGTGCTAGGACAGAGTGCTGGGGGCACCAAAAAATGGCCCCCCTCAGTACAAACTGGTGAACGCCAGTCAACGTTAAGGGGAAGGACTTTTGCATCACACCCGAGATCGAGAGCTCCTCTCCTCGCTCGCTCTTTCCGAGTCTAGCTCTTTCTCGTTGCCTCTGCCAATCTATCCGCTGCTCTATCTCCCACTTCAATCTCCCACTCTTCTCAGTCTGGCACAACGGGGCCATGTACAGTCTCTACAGTGTGTGTGAGTGTGTGTGTGTGTACACATAGCATATCCCTGAGTTTGTCACTGTTTTACCAGTGCTCTGCTATCCTCTCGGGCGTCACTATCTTATCGGGAGCAGTATTTTAAAAGCTGACAGCTATCTGCTGTAGTGAGCTACAGCATTGGAACATTTGGACATCATCACGGCACGCCATCGACGTCGTCGTCGTCGACGCTTGCGTAATGAGCCGATGAGCAGAGAGAGCTAGGGATGATGGTGGTGGTGCTGCAGTGAGGGAGCACTCCGCTTCGCCGATTGCCATTGCCCACATCCAAATCTATCACCACCGCAGCCGCTGATGATGATAGATTTCCCAAATGGTCGATTATCAGTGAGCAGTGGCCTGCTGGTGTGCTGGTCAGACTGAATCAGCACACTTGCTGGCAAAGTGAGGTGCTATATGGCTGCTGTTGGGGATGAAGCAGTGTGTGTGTGCAGGTGACAGGCGGCACCAGTTGGTGGCTGCAGACTGCTGACAATGTGTTGATTGCCCTGCCAACTGCAGCAAATCACATAATCGAGGGAATTAATAGAATGTGCCCATTGCCATGGTCGTCGCAACCTTTCAGCAGCTCTAACTGACTTTCGTCATTAGCGTCCTCACTTGTCGGATCAGAACTCTCTCACTGTGTGTGCTTACTCGCCGTCGACAAAGTAGCAACTACTACTTTAGCAGATACTGCTTTCACTGCTCTTGGCCACTTAATTCCCACTTCCCGTTAAGGGATTAGTCCCATGTGCGTCCGTGTGTGAGTGTGTGTATGTGTGCAGCCTCTGTCCTCGCTACCGTGTCACTGGGCGACAGTGTCACTTGCAGTCTTCATCATCATTATAATGTTCTTTGGGCACTGAAAGGACAAGCACAGTTCATTTGAGAAATGGTACGGCCTGTGTACTGTACGGTAGAGCTCAGGGACAAACTGATCACAACTGCAGCAGCAGTAGTAGCATCAACAGGTGGGCTCAACATTGAATGCCAACCACAACACCAACACTGACACCACCACCATCACCACCAACAACAACAACAATAACAACAGACATTTGGTACTCACCACTTCTGATGATATGCTGCTGCTGTTCTTTCTTTTGCTTCTCAAGTCGTCTTCGGGTGTCTGTGACAGGACGATGACGGCAAGAGACATTCAGGCGACGGTGGACAGAAGAGCAGCTTCAACCAGCAGCATAGCTTGTGGTCGTAATAAAAAAAGGGGCGCTTTTCTGGTGGCTCAATATGATGGCTTCTGATGGGGATGGAGTGATATTGCGATATGCAGTGGTAATGTGCGAGGTGCATGTGCATCGCCCTCTCTTCGTCAGTCCACGGCAGTCTACTGCTGGCGATGGTGAGGGTGAGGGCGAGAGTGCCGATGTGACTCGATTCCTCAGAGTGCGTCCAAAGCATGCATCGAGGATGTTCGCTGCACTGTCTGTCTCTTTTCTACTACTACAGACGACATTTTACTGCGTGATTGTAAATTGTAGCCTTGTTCGCTTGGCGTCATTGCCGCACTGAGAGCAGTCCTCACTGCGGCTCTGCTTCAGCCATCTCTCTCTTTCTTTTAGCAGTACTTTTCACTGCTGCTCCAGGCGGCCTGACTTGAAGTCATGGCAGTGCTTAAGGGGAGCCATTTTTGAGAAAAAGTTGGCTTCCCTGCGCAATACATTTGTATAGCAAAAAGGTCAATTTTTCGGTACACATTTCTTAGCAACCACACATAGGATTAAGATGCTGCAAAAAGCAAAATGTAGATGGAATATAATCTTCATTTTAGTCAATCGCAAAAAAAATTTTAAAAATTTTTTTGCATGATTTTTTTACTGTCAAATGCTGTTTTTTAAAAACTTGATTATTGTTTAAAATAATATTGTTCAACTTATTTTGCGATCAACTACAAATGAAGATTACATCCTCATCTACATTTTGCTTTTTTCAGCATCTTAATCCGATGTGTGGTTGCTGAGAAATGTGTACCGAAAAATTTACCTTTTTGCTGTACAAATGTATTGCGCAGGGAAGCCAACTTTCCCTTAAAAATGGCTCCCCTTAACTTCTACCGTTTCTGATTTTCGCGCCTCTATCCTCCGCCGTTGAGCGACGACATTTGTACGGTGTGCAGTACTAATTGCACTCGCCACTCTTATTGCCACTTACCTTTACACAACGAGTGTGTGTGTTTGAGTGTGTGTGACGATCGGCCAGTTTATCAGAAGAGAACAGCAGCTACAGCTGCTGCTGCTGCTGCAAACCAGGACAACGTACTGCAGTTGACAGTAATAAAGCGGCATCAGCCAACCAGAAGAAACAGGTGAACACGGCGTCGGGCTTTAATTCAATTAAGTATTTGGTCCAGTATGCGAATAGTGGTTGTGTGTGCTAGCAGATAAGTAGAGTCAGAGTATCTATGTACAGGTGGCAGTGGAGAAAAAGACAGTAAAAGTGGTTTGAACACACAGTGTGAGTGTGTTTGCTTAGATTTTGTGGCGTTGGTTTTTCCTGATGATGGCCTGAGAGAATGTACAAGTTTTCCCATGAAGTAATAATTGAGATAGAAAAAGAGGATATGCGTCTTACCACTATTCAACAATGTGGCTGTGCAGGTAGATAGAAAATTTGTTTGACTGAGTGTAACTTTTGGCAAAGTCCTTGCCGATTGCGGTAGGATCGGAGAAGGCCAGCTGCCTTTTGTCGATGACCTCACCGGGAATGAAGGAGTGGCGCACGGTGTCCAGCAGACGGGTGGCAATGCCCTTTCTGCGAAACTTGGGGTGAATCCAAATGCGGGCGACTCCGCACGTCGCTGGCACCTCCTCAGTGCTCGCCATCGGCGGATCCTCCTGAACGAGCCAGTTGGCGGCGTTCACGCGAACGACGTCCACGAAACCAGCAATGCGCTTTGAGGTGATGTAGATAAAGTAGGCGGAGCAGGACTTCATGGTCGACTTCAGGTCTTGGTTGATGTTAAGTTCAAGGTCGGAGACTTTGTATAGTTCATCAATTTTTTTGTGCATAAAGTGTGGCGAAGAGGGCAAAACCCGGAGGATGCGAGCGCCATCGTCAAAGTTGGCAGCGATATCTTCGTTCTTCCATTCGCGGTACTTTAGACTGTTGATAAACATGTCGTGATACTCTTCGTGCGTTCTCTCGTCCACCAGTTCGCCTGAGCTAAAAATCATATTGCAAACTTTGCAGCGTTGTGGATCAAAGTCCTTCTGGCCTAAATCAAGGAAGTACTGATCACTTGACTTGAACAGCTGCTTGCGCGAGTACGGCTTGGCACGGGTCATTTTCTTGGACCGCAGCGAGGAGGCTGATTTGGCCTTTCCACCCGAGATCGTTTGATTAGACTTTTCCTTATCCTTCACCGTTGTTTGCCATCGCCGATCGAAGATTGGGTAGTACTTCATCTGAGGCAGATCTTCAGGTGCCTTTGGCGGACTGGAGAAGAGAAAGTCCATTCTGGTACTGGTGGCGTTGATGGCGTTGGTGGTGGATAATTTAGGTCAGTTGGTGTTTAGAAGATAAAACGCGTCAACGGTCTTCCACCTCGACCCGTGCGATTGCATGTTGTTTTTTGTGTTGTTTTTTCTGCCTCGTGCCGCCAAAAATCGCGCAGTGCTCGATTCAAAGATGTCGTTTTTCAAAGAGCACAACTTCTCAGCAAGAAAAGTGTGGAAAGGACCATGCAAAAATAAACGATGATTTTCAAACAAAAAGTTAGA